AGTGCATTACTATATTTTCAACATATGTCTAAGAAAATCTAAGGTGCTTCTTGAAATGTTTTGTAAAAGATATATTCATTAAATTTCAACATTTTCCGAATGTTCTTGTGCTTCTTTAGAGCAAAACAATTTATATGCACATGTATAAATGGTTTAAAAATTCCATTTGGTTTAAAATTCCAGTTTAATCTTAGCGCTTTACTATATTTTTCAACACCAATTACTTGTTAAAGTTTTGTGCCTTTGTACAGTCAGTGGGATCAGTTGCAATGCATATTTGTGAATAATCGAAGTAAATTGCACATATGTCTAAGGAAATCTAAGGTGCTTTTTGAAATGTTTTGTAAAAGATATATTCATTAAATTTCAACATTTTCCGAATGTTCTTGTGCTTCTTTAGAGCAAAACAAAGGAAAGCCATCTTATTTTGGTTATTTATAGCAGAGTATGGTATAATTTTAATGGTACGGCCCACTTGACATCAACCGAGGCCGTATGTGGCCCACAATGTGAAATGAGTTTGACACCCCTGCTCTAAACAATGTGCATATTCCAAAAAGTTAACTTGTACGCTTTGTCACACCCAAGCACATATGCACGTGTCATTTCAATATTGCAATTGCAATGTTCGCTTAATGTTCATGATAACTAGCACCCTGCACAGTACAAATAAGCAAAACAACTTGAAATAATGCGAACTTATTAATTTGGACATGGAGCGAGGCCTGTGGAAGAAGGTCTCAAGCCTCCACTTGTACTGTACTGTATTGTACAAAGCCAATTTTTTTTTGCTGGACGCACACAGAGTTGAGTTAGTTTCCATTGACTGAACAAAAAACAGCTTTTAAGATGTTTGGAGACATTTTGTGTTTGTTTTTACTATTTTTTTTTTTTTTAACAAGTTGATATGATTCAGCGTTTCGGAATGTCCTGTTCCCTCCAGTCTGTTCCTCCCTTACTTAGTAAGTTCTTATGTTTCACATTACAAGTCAGAAAGGCCCTTGGCTGTTCGCCTTGCTATGCACTTCATTCCTACAAAAGCCACCAAGGCAAGAAGTAGATAGGAACATGCTCCTCTTTTGTCTTTGATTGAGGAAAAACATTTAAAATAGGGAGTTCATGTCAAACTCAGTTCCAAGGTTATTATTTGAAGTTCTCGGGAGAGCCGCCTCTAAAGAAATCTTTCATGAAACCTGAAATAAAGCACGAGGAATGTTTCGGTCACACAAAGCCATTGTAGTGACTGGATTGGAGAGCTCCCACCCTCAACTTTTGTGTCCGTCAATCACACAATAGCTGCACAGATTTTTCCCACCACCAGCATGATAATGAAGACAAAGAGGAATTGTTCTTTTCTTGGTGCTGTGCTAAAGACTGACAGAAAGCCTTCGTTGCGGATTATAATCACACTTTTGCAATATGCTGCGGATGTGATTCTTATTTTTATTTTTTTTTCATGTATAAATTAATTGCGACGGCATTGCTACAGAACTCATGTCTCGAACCCTTTGCTCAAGTTTTTCTCTGGATGTGTCTAATTCGATAGAATTGAAAGTCATTCTTTATTTTCCAATATGTATTTAGATATAGAACAGTGACTCCAATGTGAAATTCATCTGTATGAATAACCTTGTCTTGTCATTCTCATTGTGCTGTTTTGGGGGAGTTATTTCCTCAGCATGTGTTTGTCTGACTTCCTGTTACTGTTCCTGTTCTGGCAGTCAGCCCTTAGCGCGCCATTCAAACAGTACAGTTTTGTTAATCGACACCATGTTGTTGCATCTGTTCTGTAGTTCTTATTTTACGCCAGTTGTGAAGTTGAACAGATGATCTTTGTTGCCTGTGCTATTTAGAACATTGCTGTTTATATCAGATAGGACTGTTGTCTTGCCTCAGGAGCTGGTTGCACATCCCCCAACAACATGCCTTAACTCGAACAACATTCTTTCGCTGTACCAGACCCTTCCCCCAAACCTGCCAACCAAACACGGAAAGTTTCTTGCAGTGCGCTGACCTGAAACCCACAAAACCATGCCGACTTTTATTTCGATTTGGCAGGATTGCAATGTTGATTATTTCTTCCCTAATATACTGCACGTTTTCCGGATTGTCCAAAACCTGAGAGAATCTTACAATAATATGTATTTAAGGTTATTCCTTATCCCGACTTGTTTTTGATGAATAGTAAACTTGCTACATTTCAGTATTTTAATGTTGGTCATGATGGTGGTACTTGGTTTAAAATCTTTGCGAACCGCTGACCTACCCAATAAAAAGGCAGACCCAATACTCTTGTTGGCACGTCCTTGCAGTTTACAAGAGCTCAGTGTCTTATACAAATTAGCTGAGTGGTGAGTTGGTACTGTATACACATTTCTGTCCACAAGTCACGCAACGGTAAAAGTACACTGCGAAGTTACCTGTGTTGTCTTATGTGGATATGGTTGATTCCTTTTCACATTTGGATGCCAATTTTAGAATGTTCCCACTTCTGTGCAGTCGAAAGGTTTTATGATGGTGACAATTTGATCCTGGAATAAGTAGTCCATATATCGCATTAGGCCCTGTGCTAAAAAATGTTTCCTTACTACAAATCCGAGTTTGATGGGTGCTGGCATTTTTTTTTAAAAGGAGTCTAGGTCACATTTACTGCATTACATGACATTCTTGCAGCTGGAGATCCCAGCTGTGCATACAAGGCAGGAATGGTGAGACCTTTAGCTAAAAATACACCCCCCCCCCCAACTTTGCCCTTAAACCATTGCAATCCAAGACTGATTTTAGATTAAATGCAGTCCTCCCAGGAATAAGGCTGAATGGGAACTTGTGTCAATCCCACAGCCGAGCTCATTGTGAAGGCACAGCTGTTAACAGGCCTGTTGGAAGTTGCATAATGATCTGATGCACACACATGATGCAGCAGTCATCACTCAGCCTCGAGCAAATTTCCCCACCCAGATACACAGTAGGGTAGTTGTAAGTTTGCTTCAAAGCACTTTCACACCATTTTATCAAATCCGCCAATATACCTTCTTCCAAATCTCATGATTACCCATTCAAGCATGTACATTGTTTTAACCAACATTTCATCTTATGAAATCCAGACACAACTGACCCTTTATAAATTTTTAATCTCCATATTTAACAAACATGTATTCCAGATTTACAAAAAAAAAAAAAAAAAAGAATTATTTCTGTGGAAGCATTCCAGGCATTGCAGTGGGCTCACACATGATGCAGCAGTCATCACTCAGCCTCGAGCAAATTTCCCCACCCAGATACACAGTAGGGTAGTTGTAAGTTTGCTTCAAAGCACTTTCACACCATTTTATCAAATCCGCCAATATACCTTCTTCCAAATCTCATGATTACCCATTCAAGCATGTACATTGTTTTAACCAACATTTCATCTTATGAAATCCAGACACAACTGACCCTTTATAAATTTTTAATCTCCATATTTAACAAACATGTATTCCAGATTTACAAAAAAAAAAAAAAAAGAATTATTTCTGTGGAAGCATTTCCAGGCATTGCAGTGGGCTTGCACAGTGGAGATGCCTCCACAAAAATACAAGACCGTGGACCCATGTGAACAAGCCATTCTTCACTGTGCCAAAAGGTGATTACAGCCGAGTGATGGGGTGGCGTTTGGCCAGTCATTGCAGGTGGAGTTCAGCCGAAGGGCTTGTGGAATGTACAGCACTTGGGCTCGGCCATTACGCTGCCTTCTCCTGCTCGATGGCTGAAAGAGAAACATTTGCTCAATATTGATGCAACACAATTTTCGTGAGGAAAAAGATGTACCCACTCTCTTTTGTTGGCAACGTGTTCTTCTCGCAGGTATCGGTCTTCTTCAGCTTGGTCTTGTCAAAGGTTGTGACTTCCTCGACACTCGGTTTGTCACACATGGTGGCGTATACTAAAAATAAAGACGTTTCAGTTGCATTATTGAACAAGCAGATAATGCAGGTAAAAACAAACTGGAGATTTTGAGAAACAAAGGAAACAAAAAGCATGTGACTGAAGAAAGACGCCGAGTTGAAACGTGCAGATGCGGAACCAACGCCCTTTGTGCGAGCTACATAAAAGCATATACCCGGAGCCCCCAAACTAACTACACACAGTAATGTACTCAAAAGACGTGCATGTCTCATCTTCTATATGACGAACGTCGACTTCGAACAGGTTGAATATTATATCAAAGTTGCCTTTATAACACGCATATAGAACTAACAGAACGGATGTGGCACCACGCCAACATTCTCAAAATAAGCGATGAAGTCAACCAAATAACTGCAAAAAGGACCCGTTACGCATAATATCTATATCTATATATAGATCTATATAATATATTCTTTTTAGGTGTGTACTCACCAGCTGTGGTGCGATGCAGCAAGTCGAATCTAAGGGTGGGAGAAGTGGCGTTTACTTCCGTTAGTACCATTTATATACGATGAGTTATGCAAAATAACCATGACGTCACGACACGGCTCGCCTTTTTAATGGCATATTATTGGTAATATTTTAATTATTGATTCGACACTCTCTGTAACCCAATACACACAGTGCAAATCGTTTTTTTTTTTTTTTTTTTTTTAACAGCAGCCGTCATTATTAAATAAAACCATTTTTGTCTGTCAGCTATCGATTTCTCTTTTCCTCTTTCCGGAGTTTGATTAAAGTTTGTGGTGCAAGAAAGGAAATATTTTTGCTCCACATCCAAATATTCTCAAGTGAACGATTTTGAAAGCTCCCAAACATTCTCGCAGTGGAAAACGCGACAGCAGTGACGCTGCCTGGGCGACTGCAGTAATGGCGACGTTGTCTTTTCATAAATAAGGAGTGTCGTGTTTGACCTGCTTCATGTTCAAAGTCTCCTTCTATCTATCTATCTATCTATCTATCTATCTATCTATCTATCTATCTATCTATCTATCTGTCTATCCCATCAAATAAATTTTTTCTACTAATGTAGACAGAAATTAAAGGGCACAGACTTGACATACAGGCATTCTCATTTATTGTGTTACCATAAATCTGGGTTTAAAGGGAAGTAGTAAAAAAAAAAAAAAAAAAAACGAAAACAAAACCAAATAGCATAATTAACTGAACATTAGCAGGATAATTGCAAGACTTCAACAATGTTTTTACAAAGCTGCCAACAAGATGTAGACCATTTCCTCACTATTGTTGGAAACAAAATGCTGACTGCATCACCTGTTGGTAAAGTACATGGAGTAGGTCTTGTTGTACATGACTTGATTGTCCACCCGAATAATATTACGCAGGTTTTGCCAAAACCAAGGCTCGGCGGCGGCCGTTTTAGGCCACTCCACCACGCTTTTGCCGCACAATCTTCTTCGGAGCCGTAGGAAGTAGGAGTGCTGCAGCACGGGCTCCAGCATCAACAGCACGATCACATCCACGTTTTCGTCCAGCAGCCGTTGGTGGGCCAGGTACATGGCCAGCCGGAAGACCCCGGTCTTGACGTAGCCCTCTGTTAGGACAAACATGGTTTTGCGGCTCTGTCGGATGCTCTGAAGGAGGTTATCCATCAGGGGCACACCAGGAAGCCAGTCCCTCTGCTCCAGGCACAGAGGAAGATGTTTTTCACCTTCCTCTTCCAACTTCACCCTTAGGTTTCGCATCACCCACTCGGAGACTTGTGGATCTTTGGTGTCGTAAGTCACAAAAACGTCATAAACATTGTGGCTCGAGTTCAGAGTGCGGTACCCCATCAGTTTCGCTTTCACATAGTGTAGGATGTAGGAGGCATCCCAGTAAAATAAGTGAGCACTCGTCACCACAAACAAAAAAACAATGATGAAGGAACCCGATACCAAGCACAGCAGAAAAGCATGACTGCCATTCACACACTGGTAAATGTCAAAGTAAATGAGCGCACGACCCTTCTGGTTTTCTGGTGCGTCACAATTCACATCAGTAGTCAGTCGGGGGATGTGCACACCAGTGTTTTCAATCCATAGAATGAAGTCTAACATGTGACAGGTGCACTGAAATGGGTTATTCCCCAGGAACAATTTTTGCATTCGTGAGTCAGGGCTTAGTTGGAAGGTTGATTGATTAATGAGAGTCAGTTTGTTGAAGCTAAGGGAAAGAGTCGTGAGGCTTTTGGCGCCTTTCAGAAAGCCATCGCCTAAGTGGTGGATGTTATTGTGACTGAGGTCCAGGGAGATCAATGTGATGGGAGTATTCCAGTTCATACCTCTTATGTCAGATATGACATTGAAGCTCAGGTCCAGACTTTGAAGCTGAAGGAAATGGTTTAGCTTGTCCCACCTGAAACCTGTTAGGAAATTTTGACTTATACGTAACTTTGTCAGGTTTCGTGGTAAAAACTCATAAACGCTGTTGGGAATTCTGGTGATGTGATTACCAGATATATCTAAAAGGGTCAAATTTGTTAGATATCTGAAAAGTGTAATGTACGAGTGATCCCCTTCTTTCCATAGATGCCCTAGACGATTGCCTTGAAACTGCAGTTCCGACAGCGATTGACTGTACAATTCTTTTGTTGTCAATGTGGAAATAGAGTTATGGCTCATATTCAACACTCTCAGGACAGGCAGGTTTTTTAGAAAGTTTAGATTATGTGTTATGCCGTAGGACTGAAAGTAGTGAGAATTGTAACTTATGTCCAGTACTTGTAAATTCTTAAGCTCGCTGAAGGCATTGTCGTAGGCCAGATCGAGCTTGTTAAAGGACAAGTCCAGATATGTCAGCGTCGGGATGGAGGAGAACTCTGTGCCGTTGAGCGCTGACGAGAATCCGTTCCCCGAGAGGTTGAGACACGTGATGTTGATGTAGCCTTCAAACTGCTGCGGGGAGATGAAGAACAGATTATTTGAGCTGAGGCTCAGCACTCGCCCGGAATCGTAGCACTCCTGTTTGATTTGGCCGTGTGTTATCTCGAAGAGTTGCTCGTGTTGATGGTGGCTTCTGAATGTTGAAATGGATTGGTATCCCTCACTCGAATGCATCACACGTTTCACCTTAGTCGGATAGAGACGGTTTTCTGCAAGGTATATCATCTTCAGGTTGGAGAATTTGCTAAATATGCTGGAATCGAACTGAATGATAAAGTTGGTCCCCAAGTCCAGTGCAGTCAGGTTTTTAAGCTTGTACAGGGGTTTGAGTGTCTCCGCTCCAATTTCTTGGAATACTAAACCCGCTAAATGCAAAGTTCTGAGTGACTTTAGATGTGAGAAATAATGTGAAAGATTTAATGTTTGGGGATAGATCTTCAGTAAAAAGTTGAAGGAGATATCAAATTTTTCAAGTTTGGGAAGGTATGTCAGAAATGTCGCCTCCCCGGTGATTACTGTTTGTAAGAAGTTAAATGAGATGAACAGCTCTTTAAGTTGGTTTAGATTCTTGAACCAGGATGAGGTCAGGTTGGTCAGTGAGTTCCCTGCCAGGCTCAAAGTTTGGAGCTGCGTGAGATCTTCAAATGCGTCCGCGTGAATGGCAAGAGACTCGTTTTGACAGGGCACACAGGGAAAGGGAGCATTTTGACATCTTGGACAGTTCCCTTGCAACTTGAGGATTTTTAATTGATTTATGCCACGGAAATCATCGTTCGATATGTACTGGATTTGATTGGATGCTAGCTGTAGCATCTGCAGGGATGAGGGCAGTCCTTTGGGAACGTTGGTTAGGTTGTTGAAGGACAGGTCCAAATTCTGCAGTTTGCTCAGTGCCTTGAAACTGCCGTCCGCAATGTTCATATTTGTCCCACAGGGGTTCCAGTAGAAGCAATTCTTGGATAGCAATAGTCTTGTCACATTTGTCAGTCCAATAAGGCTGCTGTTATCCAAAGACAAAATCCTGTTGGTCTTTAGCTGGAGGTCATCCAAACTGAGAGGAAGTGTGAGCGGCACTGCCGATAGGCAGTTGCCATTCAGCTCCAGCACACGCAGGTTGGTCAAGTTTCTGAACGTATTGTCATCAATCTTCACTGACTGCTTCCTGTTTGCCTGGTTCAGGTAGATATGAGTGAGATTCATTAGGCCAGAAAAGGACGTATATTTAATATGCTTGATTTGATTTTCTGATAAGTTCAGCACTGTTGCATTACTTGCTATCCCAGATGGTATTTTTTTGAGTCTACGGCCTTTGCAGTCAAATATGACATCTGAGGTATTCTTGACCGTGGCATCACAAGGGAACTGGGGTAACATCCATTCGGGTTTGTTCGCAACAGGCCAAAAATAAGCACAGAGAACCAGCAAGTGCATCCAACATCTGGCAGTCTGTAGATGGACAAGAAAAGTAAGTCAAAAAAATTGCTTGAACTATTTCCTGACTTTACATTTCACCAGGTGAAGTAGTACCAAATATGTCCAGCAGATAGCAGTAGAGTTTGGACTTTTGTTTTGTCTTTATTAACCCCCTCAGTGATAATTCATGAGGGCTCATCACATAGTTGTATGAAAAAGGAAAAGTTCAAACTATAAATAAAAAAAAAAATCGAATCAGAGTTGGAAGCACTCACATACATTATAGTACAATCAAAATATAAACAGCTGGACCTTCAGTCATATATATTCCACTGAGCAAATGCATTTTTGTTTCTCCATAAGAAATGACAAACTTGAAAAACCAAAGTGTGTTTTCTTTTCCTTACCCAACTCCCCCAATCTCTATGTGACAACTTTTTGCTTTTGTGTAAGTTATAGGTCTCAAAAGTTGTCACAGACCTCACTGTAGTTAGTTTTCTCAGAGCGCCAATTTGAAAATAATACTACATACATTTGGCCCTGCATTTGATGAGGCATTGATGTTATAGTTTCAACAATAAAATGGATTGGAGATCAGAAGTCAAAATGCTTGCAATATCTGTTAAAATTGAACAGAAAATTTGGTCCAGATTTTCTGCAGAAATTAAAGGAATGCATCGAATTTACAAGAGACAAAGTTGGTTTTATTTGATTTCGTGTGCGCCATAAAAAGATGTGGTGACTCGGATCTGGCCCCTGGGCCTTGAGTTTGACAACTATGCTATAAGTGGTCTCAGGGATGGTCGTGACTGAATAACTATTGCATCTTCTGACTCATTTTCGGTGGAGTTCCTAAATTATCAGCCCAGGAAGAGACGCACGTGGCCCTTAAGCCAAGGTTTATTAAACAAAGGTGTAAGATTGATCGTTGATCAAAGGCATTCACAAACATTTCTGCCTGCGTATTGCTTGGAGGAGACATTTACAACTAGAAAATATGTAGAGAAATTTGGATCTGTGACACTCACCATTGCGGATGCTTCACTGATTCCTTTGGATTCCCAAATGCTTTGTCTGGCTATAAATGCTGGAATCACATGTAAAAAAAAAAAATTAAATAGTATGTTTTTTCTATAACCTCCCCTCCTAATCAAACACAGGTGCCAACCCTCAGACAGGTTCCTACACTGAGTTCTGCTACAGAAATAGAAAAGAAGAAGAAGTGCATTGGTGCATCACTTCCCTGTTTCATAAAAGGGTGAACAAATGAGAAGTGTTTGATGGCCGCAAGGAAACATTCATGTGACAACAGTGTTGTTTTTATTTGAATTATGATGGTAGAATGTTCACAGTGCACGAAACATCATTTGCGGACGTTTAACAAATGTTCAAGGTCTAATTTGCACCGCTCGTGGCTTTCAGGGGCGATGGCTGAAACACTTTGCAGGTTGACTCACGAGTATGACTGAGCATGAAGATCTGTTGCGGACCTCAGAGCGGAGCCTTTCTACAATAGACATTTCGAGACGATCATCAAAACGCTTGTACAGTGGACCATCCAAAGTGGAACGCAATTCCGTGAAGATGATTGAGTGTCTCATAGGCAATTGGTTGTAAAGTGAATTAACCCTTTCAGGGACAGCGGTTGCTACAGTGGACAGCTTATCATGTTATCAGGTTACAGGGTGCATGAAGGGGTTAAATTATGACATGTTCAAACTGTCACCGACATAACAGTTATTAAATGAACAGGAAATGTAGCATTTTGACGTTCTGAACTGTATTATTAAGAGAAGTTAAACACTATCATAAAGCAAAAAGAAAAAAAGAACAAGGTTGAACTTATCACCCTTAAGCAGATACCTAATGGAGAATGTAGCAGGAGGTGTTAATACAGCGAAACTGGTCCTACCGGACTATTTTACAGTGTCTCCTTAAAGAGGCTGTTGTATTGCTTGTGGCTTTCAGTGGCCAAAACGCTTCTAACGCTGAACCAGAAATATGGCTGAGCTTGAGGGTTTGTTGGCCACTCGAGAATGGAGCGTTTGTACAGCCTTTTCCGCAGTCTGAAGTACTTGGAATTACAAGGCACTTTCTCCAAGAGGATCAGGACGATAACGTCATTTTTTTCATCCATTAACCGTTGCTGGGCCATATAGAAAGCCGTCTTGAAGTTCCCGCTTTTGATGTATTTATTGGTGAGAATGAATACGGTCCTCTTGCTCTTTTGAATGCTCTGTGAGAGGTTGTCAATCAGGGGGTAGCCGGGAATCCAGTCTCGATCCTCCAGACACAAAGTTAACCGGCGATCTCCTCGCTCCTCCAGATGGAGACACATTTCCTTTGTAACCCACTCATACACCGCGGGGTCTTCTTTGTCATACAACACAAAGGCATCAAAGAGAGCACTCTGCGAGTGTAAGCGGCTATAGCCCTTGAGCTTGGCCAGGCAGAAATGGTAGATGTACCAGACGTCCCACAGGAAAAGATGACTGGAGATGCACAGGATGAGGAAACTCAGGACCAGGGAAGCATTGAGCATGTAGAGAATGATGGACAAGTCATTGTGTTGGCAGGCCAGCAGGTCAACCGAGATCACGGGCTGGCCTCGTTGTGTCTCTGGGTCGGCACAGGTCACATCTGTGGCCAGTTTGGGGATGGGTACCTTGGTGTTGTTGAGCCAGGTGATGAAAGAAGTGACGTTGCATGAGCAGACAAAATCGTTATTGTGCAAAAGTAGCATTTGCATCTGATTGACGACGTCATCCGGAAAGCTCGATTCCTCAATGACTTGTATGTGATTAAAACTAACGTCCAAATACGTTAAGTTATGTGCGTCCTTGAGGAAGTTTGGGGTGAGGGTCAAGATTTGGTTTTTTTGCAAGAAGAGCTTCTTGAGAGATCTGGTGCAGTTTGAGAGCATTCTTGGAACCGTTGATAAACTGTTCTCACTGAGGTCTAAGACTTCCAGCGATCGTATGAGCTGCAGTTTTTCCCATGGAAACGATTTCAATCTGTTGGTTTTTACGTAGAGCTCCGACAACTTGTCTGGCAGGCCGCTGAACACTTGAGATGGGATAAAATTGAGGTTGTTTTTGGAGATGTCGAGTACCTTCAAGTTCAGCAGTTTCTTGAAGTAATTGACAAATCTGGTGTCCCCGTCTCTCCACAACATATCTAGTCGGTTATCTCTGAACTCAAGTCTCTCCAAAGATTCACTTTCCATCTCGGTGTTTGTCGAAGTAGAAATCTTGTTGTGGTTCATGCGCAGCGTTTGCAGTTTTTTGAGGTGCTTTGTGAAGTTCAGCATGTGAATGAGGCCCTCGGATTCAAAATAATGGTCATTGTAGCTGATGTCAAGTGTTTTGAGATTCTTCAGCTCTTGGAAGGCAGTGGCGTACTGCAAGTCCAGACGATTGAATGTGAAGTCTAAATATTTGAGATGAGTCAGGTAGCTAAATTCCGAACCATTCAGACTTTGGCTCATCGCATTTCCCGATAGATTAAGGCACCGCAGCTCGGACAGGTTTAAAAAACCCGCATGCAGAAAAAAAATGTTATTCCTGCTGATATCCAGTGTTTTTCCATATTTAGTGCATTCCTTTTTGGCAAAAGATTTAGCGACTCCAAATTCTTTAGTTTTAGCTTTGCAGCTACGTGCGTCTTCATCGTATCGGAAGTACCGCATTTCTCGCACTTCCTTTTTTTGGTAGTCGGCCAGTAGATGAGGCCAGAGCAATGACTTCTCATTTCCTCCAACGGCATTTGGCTCTTCAGATGAGGCTGATATTTTGTTGTCAGAGAGACTGACCATTTTATAACTTGGCAACCCCGTTAAGATACTAAGGTTTGTATTTTTAATAAAGTTTGTGCCCAGGTCTACAACTTCTAAGTGGAGGAGCGTCTTTAATGAAGCAATGCTCTCCGGTATCAGCTGCTGAAACACAAAGCCTTTTATGCGAAGGATTTTAAGAGACTTAAGCTCGGAAAAGTGCCTGCTCAAAGTTAGAGTTTGGGGATATTGCTGTAGTTCATAATTAAATGAAAGGTCCAATTCTACCAATTTGCTCAGAAAATGTGGGAAATGTGTCCTTGCTATGTCTCCTGCTAAAATGTTTTGTGAGAGATCAAGGACTCTCAGTTCTCTTGTACCGTTGAACCATTCAGGCATCACAAACCTCAAAGAATTACTGTGCAGACGGAGAGTCTTGAGTTTGGTCAACATTTGAAAAGCTGACTTGCTTATATGAAGCGGGGACTGATTCGGGCAAGGTGTGCATGGGAAAGGAACATTGTAACATCGTGGACAGTTTCCGCTTAAATCCAAAATCTCCAAATTGGTTAGGTTTTTGAAATCGTTTCCTGTGACCTCCTCGATCTTATTGTTGTAAAGATACAACTCCTTCAGACTTGTAGGCAGTTGGTGCGGAATAAAAGATAAGTTGTTTGACTTGAGAGACAACCGAGTCAAATTGGAAAGCTGTGAAAAGGCGCCATCTTCGATTTCATAGGAAAAATTGCACGGATTTCGATAGTAGCAGTTTTGACCAAGATAGAGCATCTCAACACTTCTGATCGTGGAGAAATTTGCGCGGTAAACTTGATAGATGTGATTGACTTCTAAGCTCAACAGAACTAGATCGGAAGGGAGTCCTTTAGGTATGCTGCTAAGTTGGTTTCCGTCTAAATAGAGCGCTCGTAGATTCCGTAGGCTTGTGAACGTATTTTCCTCGATCGCCAAACTCTCGGTGCAGATGTGATCTTTGGATCCGATTTTAACGGGCATGCAGTTGCACCTCATGTCAAGCTCAGTCAGGTTCTCCAAGCTGACAAAGGAGGTAGAGTTCAACTTGGGTATACGGTTGATGGTGAGCGTCAGATTGGTGGTGTCTCTTGGAATGCCTTGTGGGACGCCCTTGAGGTCTCTTGCGCTGCAGTCCACCTTTACCGAGCTCCCGTTGTCGAACTGAGTTACACTGCATGGCAGAGTTTTGGGGTAGAAAGTGATAGCTGCCCGTTTGGAAGGACAGCCGACAAGCCCTAGGAGTGCCACGCCCATCTGTATGGAAGCACAGAAAGTCAATAGCAGTGGATGCTGGTCAAGTGATGGCACCAAGGCTCCCATCGCTTAAAAGGAGCGGAAATGGAAAAATCAAAATGAAACTAAAATATCATCAAATGATGATAAATTATCTTTTTTTTGCTTGTTTTTAGATGAGTGGGATCTATCTAGCCACCTACCCACATACCCTTGACAGATTAATTTTTGTGTGTTTCTCAGTCACTTTTGAACATTTCTCAGACCGGAAATGAAATTTGTAAAACAGTCAGTTGAGTTTGTCAAAATAAACAAACAATAAAACTACACGATTCCTCTGCAGAAACCATTTCAGTGTCAAAACCGTAAGTATATCTTTCAAAAGTAAATAGTTGTGGCACTTAACATGTCAGTGCCATCAAAAGGAGTCTTTAAGTTTTTTTTGCATGGACAAAAGAGTCAAATTGCTTTATGATGGCATCATGGTGACCGACTGGTTAGCGCGCCAACCTCACAGTGCAGAGGTGCAGGTTTCGATTTCAGCTTTAGCCTTCCTGTGTGGAGTTTGCATATTCTCTTTGTGCCTGCGTGCGTTTTCTGCACTTACTCTGGTTTCAAACATGATATGGTTGGGTAATGGAACACTTGTCCCTAGCTGTGATTGGGAGTGTGACTGGTTGTTAGTCTATGTGTGCCCTGCGACTGGCTGGCAATCAGTTCAGGCTGTGCCCTGCCTACTGCCCAAAGACGGCTGGGATAGGCTCCAGCACACCCGCAGAATGAAGTAGTTGGGATAATGGATGAACGGATGGATGAACTTTTATGCCAAAATGTCGTGGGGTGTGAAGCAATTCAACATTGATCGAATTCACTATATATATATATATATATATATATATATATATATATATATTGATCAACATGACATAAGCAATTGATAATGTCGGAAAACAGCAGAGATTGTACAAAATTGCTTGCGTGGATCTGCCAAACCATTTGCAACTTGTTCAAAGAAATGAGAGACTGCTTTATGATGTGCACAACTGATAGAATAACTGAGAAATGTACCAAAGCATCTGAGAAAAACTTGAATCAGCACATACTGGGAGGTATGAAGGTTAATTTTTCAAGAGATGTTTTGTTGTTTCAATCATCAGCTTAAAACATTTTCCTGTACATATATTTTTTTATGCCCAAATAGTCATACAATGTGGAAGTGCTGATCATCTGTACAATAAGTAACGATTTTGTGATGATGACCATGAAGTTCTCATTGTGTATAGTGAGAGACATAACTACAATTATATATTATTGTCGGTAACCAAATATTCGAAACAGCTGTCGTTACAGTGGGTGCAGTTTCACACCCCGATAAGCTACACTCGGAACAAGAAACATGATGCTGAATTATATAAACATTATTTTATGGAGGCAGAACTTTGGTGAGTATTCAGTACATAAGTCCTCACAACAATCTACCTGACCATGACTTATAAATCTAAATATCTTACAGGACAAAAGTAAGAATCATAGCTACTTACCAGAAGAAAGAACATGATGCTGACGAGAGATTTCAATCCAATAGTCAGTGAGAGATGAAAGTACCAGGTGCCTGAAAAGTAAACTGTTTACTCAGTATCACTTCCCTATAGAATCGCATACAATTATTCCCTTTTCATATCGCACTATAAACATGATTTTATTGACTGAACGATCATGGCGACTTCAACTAATGCGTTGAGCCCCGACACAGTTTGTGTGCCCAAATGGCAGAAAGCCTCTTTTATTAATGCAATACGAAACGTCAAGTTGCATCAGCAGATCAGACAGGCTAGCAGACGTGAGTTTCAGATGAGGAGAAAAAGTCTTCAGTGAGACAAGGTCGGGGAGTGTCAGCAGATCAGCCAGGCGGTCTATGTGTTCCCAGGGCTGAAAGAAACAGAGCAAACTTGAACACAACGTAGTGAATTACACTGCTTGAGCCTGAAGGAGGTTTCTGTGATGTTTCATCCACGACGGCCTGGAAAACTGCAGTGGGCATTGCGGGCATTTGTCATGGAGGTTCACACAGGTCTATCTGATCAGCCTGATTGGCCGCCACCATCCAGTCTGGCGGAGGGAGCAATCGATGAAGTCACCACATCATGGTATGTTTGGATGAGAACAATACAACTTTTGAAAAGCTCGACAAAACCCCAGTGTTGACAAACAAATAAATTCCCACTCATAGTTCATAGTCCCACTTACGTAGCACCAAAAAGTTAATATAAACACACCATATATTCATTTCCTGATCAACGAAACAATGATATTAAAGTAGCAACAGCGGTAACAATCGCTAAGTATTAAATATGATAATCATTAAAAGGTTATTTGCTTAAAAAGCATTCGGCATATACAAAGTAACTGACCTTCGGTTCACAGACGACATTTTCCAGCACCAATAAAAGTAACTGGGCCTCATCTTGGAAATCCTAAATTTCATAAATTTAGGATTTTGATACAAATTCATTGCTTATGCTGTAGCAGACCATTGAGGGATTCCAAGCTGTTTGTGGTTGACTGTATAGCTTTAAGCAAGTGACTGCGTTTGTCTGGTTTGACAAAATTTGGGAGTACTGTAATGGAAAAAAAATATATATCTCCAACTCCTTCCCTTCCTTATGTAATCAAGATTACATGCAAAACTATGGAAGGCAAATGAATGTGTACTTGAATTTAATGACGTATCGCCGCGAAAATGGACTGGTTTCTCATTTTTTTCGTTTCTAATTGCATGGTGGTAAAATATTCAAAAATCAGCCCCCCCACCCTTTCAGGTGTGCTCCCCTTTCCCTCACCCAGACACGTTAACATTATGCAATGTGCTTGTGAGTTCTGACACTTAACTCTGAACACTCTTGCTGAAGTAGCCCGCCATCATCACTAATTCAAAAGGCATCACCAGCACTCAAGCCAGAGTAAACGGTAAAAGCATGAATTATTTTACATAGTTATGCAATTACACATGCACCTGTGTGTTTGAGCAATGCAAATTGGTCAACAAACTCGTCATTCTCTGAGCTTGTGTTATTCTGATTCGACGCCTCAGAGACAAGAATACATTAGACACGCGCACGTGCAAAGGCGGTTTTCCCGGGAAAATTGTGATTTGGTCAAACACAAAAGTGAACATTGTCGACTTTGTTTGAGGTCTCTTAAAGTTTTAATAATGCTGACCAAAAACATGACAGGGAAGTGTACAGAGTGTCATTGTAATCACCCAGCAAATGAAAAAAAGTGCATGATTTCAACGCAATCGTTTCCTGTGCAATGATTTGTCTACAGCTGCATACAGTATTTCTCCACCATATTTTTACTTTTTACAAAACAACATACTATGAGAAGTCTTTCATAACAACCAATATATAATTTAAACATTTCTTACAATATACTCTTAAATACTTGGGTGGAGGTCTGTATGCATCGTTTTAGAAGGCTTAAATCTTTTTAAAATTTTGTGATTGAAATATTTCTACATCGTTTAATAAAATAGACTTTATACAAGTTTTTTTTTTTTTTTGTCACAGCAGTTCACATTGGTAGTTACACCCATGTCTCTTAACTTATGGCTTTAAAAATCAATAATTGGGATACGTTATTTGTTGCACAGTGTTGTCATTGAGTGGATTAGTGTGTCTATGGTGGCAGACATGTTGGCAGAGTGATGCATCAGTGCCTTCACACTTGCGTCTTCCGGGGAGCTGACCAAAGAGTCCTCGGCAGCTTTCAGCAGACACACGTAGTTGACGAGCACCTCATCCACCTTGGTTACCAACTGGCGCCGCTCTGTGTCGCTGCGCAGGCCTTCCTCGAGGGACATGCAGGCCTGCGTGAGGCAGCAGAGTGTGTGGAAGCTGTGCGTCAGCGTGAGCAGCAATTCCTCCGGGCTGCCGTACTCTGCGGCCATTTGACCGCAGGCGCCACTTAGTGCTTTAGCCTGCGTGATGAGCAGCTGAGAGAAGGTCTGCGTATCAGCGTCGCCAGCTTCCATGTTTTTCCCTTGAGACGCCTTTTTACAAAACAACATACTATGAGAAGTCTTTCATAACAACCAATATATAATTTAAACATTTCTTACAATATACTCTTAAATACTTGGGTGGAGGTCTGTATGCATCGTTTTAGAAGGCTTAAATCTTTTTAAAATTTTGTGATTGAAATATTTCTACATCGTTTAATAAAATAGACTTTATACAAGTTTTTTTTTTTTTTGTCACAGCAGTTCACATTGGTAGTTACACCCATGTCTCTTAACTTATGGCTTTAAAAATCAATAATTGGGATACGTTATTTGTTGCACAGTGTTGTCATTGAGTGGATTAGTGTGTCTATGGTGGCAGACATGTTGGCAGAGTGATGCATCAGTGCCTTCACACTTGCGTCTTCCGGGGAGCTGACCAAAGAGTCCTCGGCAGCTTTCAGCAGACACACGTAGTTGACGAGCACCTCATCCACCTTGGTTACCAACTGGCGCCGCTCTGTGTCGCTGCGCAGGCCTTCCTCGAGGGACATGCAGGCCTGCGTGAGGCAGCAGAGTGTGTGGAAGCTGTGCGTCAGCGTGAGCAGCAATTCCTCCGGGCTGCCGTACTCTGCGGCCATTTGACCGCAGGCGCCACTTAGTGCTTTAGCCTGCGTGATGAGCAGCTGAGAGAAGGTCTGCGTATCAGCGTCGCCAGCTTCCATGTTTTTCCCTTGAGACGCATGGCCGGAACGCAGCAGGCTAATGATCTCTATGGCGTCCGTGCGTGCGAGTGCGAACCCCGTACGAAGGCTGTAGGTTTTCCCCTTCATTGAATTTACATGAGCCAACCTCTCCTCCAGGCTCATTTTGGCCATGTTACTCTGCTGCGCTTTACTGCCTGCTTTCTTATCGCCCGTCGGGACGACAGAGAACCTGAGCTGGGAGGGCTCCCTGTCATCATGATCGGTGTCCTTCTGTCTCCAGATAAAGCAGCAACTGACCGGCCTATGACATCTCAATGCACCTGCATCCAACCGTGCTGCCTGTGGCGGCCGTCCACAAGCTGAATTTAAGGTGACCGAACCATGTGACAAGCTTTTGGTGACAGATTTGACATATAGTATGCGCTGAGCTTTTGAGCAATGTTGTGACTCTAATTTCTGACCAGCGCTCTTCCCTATGAAGGTAGCTTTGGTCCTCTCTAGCAATGCCTCAAAGCTCCTGGAGCCTGGCATTAGGGTGCTCCAGCTTCTCCTGCGCATCGGAACCCTACGTGGCTTCCTGAGGCTATTTTTGAGAAGGTCGCATGAGGATCCGCTAGACGGGGAAGGCAGGGCATGTGGGTTGGGCTCAGGTCTGGCCCAATTTAGCCCACTGGGCTCTGTGCAGCTTGCTAATAACGATGGTGAAATGACTGTGGTGGTGTTATTGGTCTCACGACAGAGCGCTAAAGATGTCTCTTCTCCAAGCGTCCTCTGCTGTGCGCAGGCTACACTAGGGGGAGGAGGAAAACAGAAAACCGTTAAGCACTCACCTGACACCAAATGACAATTTCAATTTTTGATATTTGTTTTCCTGAACGTGCGACTGGAACAAGAAGCACATTTTTAGCCTTCTGGGTGATACCGCAACATTATAAATGGGGTCCAGAGGGTTAAGAATGCAGTTCCATTCCTGTGGTGGCGTACTGTAGTAACATGAATTGCGGAGGACCGTAGACTCTCAATAACTTGAAGTGAAGTTATAATTACAGTAAATATTTCATAAAAAATACTTTGAAAAAAATAGCATAACACCATCAAACAAAAACTGTGAGTATGTGTTTTTTAGAATGGAAGCGAGTGAGTGAGTGAGTGTCAAGGTGTTACTTAATTTTACCTGTGGTTTCTTTTATCTTTGATAATCTGTGACCACTGTTTCCAAAACCAGAGTCTGCGCTGGTCGTTGCCTGGGTCTTCCTTAGTTGTGTGGCTTCCTTATTTTGCCCGGTGTGAGCATAGGCCTTTTCCTCCGGACCAGTTACATAACTCAACCCCTTGAGCGAGGACTCGGATAGTACATGCGTGTTGTCCGCGACGCAAAGGGGAGAGTCCATTGGAGTGACACAGCTGCTGCTACCCGTACTACATCCGGCATCTATAGATGAACATTGTGAACTTTGGAGAGAATGAGGCCCCTCACTCTGCAGAGATGACATGCGCTTGCTCAAGTGGTACTCGTATAGCCTTGTGACATCTTGCTCCGATGACGTCGTCTTAATTTGCTGCTCACCATCCCGTGAAGTATCAACGCCCTCCTGTCCTTTGGAAGGAGAGCGGAGTTGGGCATTTAACGGTTGGCTTCTTTCGTCTGAGTCCTGTTTCCCTCCCTTCACTGTCAACCTGTCTGTGTGGGAGGCCTGTGACTCATTCACATATTCTGGAGCGAGAGCCTCATCCATTTTGTTTCCTGAAGCTCTGTGCAGCCACTTTTGATGGCGGTCTTTGAGGGACGTTCGCCCCAGATCAAGCTGATTGACATAATAGGAATCCCGCACGGTGAAGGTATTATACTTCCCAACAAGATGCAGCGGCTCTTCTTTAGCTTGCTCTTGGATGGTCACGTGGGATTTTTCTATGGGGTCACAGGTGTCTCGTTGAGTTTGGTTCTCTAAATTCCCTTGTTTGCCTCCGTGCCCGCTCAGAAGTGAGTCAATATGTATCTTCGTGAAGTACTCACTGACTGATTTTATTTCCATCGTCTCTGGCTCCATCTCACCGCCGTCAGAGTGGAAAAGTTGGGTGGAGGCAGTGGCCGCGGATTTCGGCTCGTCACCATGAAGCTCCTGCACAGTCCCGGCGCCACTTTCACCAAGTCGCTCTGACTTTTCATCATTCGCGGTGTGATAACCGTCTGTCACAGATGCATGCATCCTCAAGTGCTGGTCTGAGTGTCTCTGGGCGGTGGCCAGTTCGGAACTTTCCGTCATCTCGGATGAGTTTGTCTCATTGCCAGAATCTGATGACTCTGGACTAAACGCACGTGATATTCCTACACCTGTATGCCACAGAAAGACAAGAACGCCATTAGGACATTCATTGCAGGCATCTCAGAAATGATCATGTCACAGAATGAGGGAAATGGAAAGATGGTCGTTGAGTGAGTAGGAGAGCATGCATTAATTGTTTTTTTTTGTTGATTACACAAAAAATACCTTTCTGTATGACATCGCGTAAACTATTTATAGTGGTGTCATCTAAAAAGAAATTCATTAAAATCTGAAGACATAACCTGGCCATAAAGGCTTTTTAAAAAAATGTTTTGTTTTTGTTTCAGGGTCTACTTTGAGGTAATGCTGACAATTTATTTGACAGACCTTTATCAAGGTAGCTCGCTGAAAATGTTGACAGGTGTTTGGTTTGGTAGTAACAAACATCTGTTTAGGTGTAAACTATAAAGCAAACAACAAACAACAGATCTTCACATACAAACAGTTTGGTCATGAAAATGAACGTGTATGCACAAATGAATGAAGAATCTCACACAAATGGAAATATAGAACAAAACGGGCTTTATTGGAAAAAAAAAAATAACAGCAACAAATGAAAAGTGAATGGCTGGGGTATTTGTGATGTTAATGAATGAATGTTACAATAGTAAAAGGGGAACCTGTGCTGTTCTCAGACTGTGCTGGTTCCTCCGATGCAGCAAGAGCCTCGAGTGCCTGCAAGGTGGACACAACAGCTTCGTCAAGGGGTTCCCCCTGGTTCTGAGCTCTGTGGGCGGGCACTGAATCTATGAGGGACACTGGAATATCATTGCGGCCCCCCTGGGCTTGACTCCCTGACTCCTGCTGCTCCTCCTCATCTGAGCTGTCCCTGAAGCCAGGAGGAGGGGCAGCAATGGCCAGGTTGAGAGAGTGCAGCAGCACGTCATTGTCCTCCTCGTCGTTACCCTCCGGTGGCGGAGGGAGGGAGGTCAAGTCAATGATGTCATCGCTGGACCCCGAGAGGGAGAGTAATGCGGGCTTGTCAGTGTCACTCATCACCATGTCCTCTTCGCAGCTGATGTCATCCTCGTCTTCCGCGTCATCTGTTGTCTCTGCATAGCAGATATCATGCAGCAGCGGCTCCTCAAACATTTTGGTGGAATACTGATAGCCATCACCTTCTTCTAGGGCGTCCATCATCTTGTAGTCCTCTTCAAGACGCCTGTACATTGGGCTGTGATTGTCTATAATCTCTGAACTGTCATCCATCAGTCTCTGGTAGCCCAGATTTTGGGGGTTTACAGTGTCTAAGGGAGGATCTCCAAAAATGAAAGACACCTTTGCACTCCTGCAGGATTCTTGGCCTTTGTTTCTTGGGACATTAAGGTATGTTTGGGTGGACGGTACCCTGCAGAACTCTGCCCTTTCAAGCATATATACTGAATGCTGAGCTTGGTGGATCTCAGCCATGTAGGCAGGTTGGCTTTCACATCTGCCGCGGTCGAGGTATTCACACTCCTGGTCTGAGAAATCCTGGCTGCACCTCTGGTTGATTCTGTCTTCGTTTCCCTTTTGGGGTGTGCTATAGGTATACTCGATGGCCTGGTAGTTCTGCTTGATCCTTGCTGCATGGCCTGCAAAGAGGAGCCCAAATGAAAGAAAATCTATGGAACGGACCAAGATATTCTTGACATCGTGGACATACTTATATCCATACTGTCTGTGTTCTTGGCCACATTGAAGATGGAACGCCGAGAATCCACCAGTAATCTGTAGTATCCAGCAGTCAGGCAGGCCAAATTCATTGCATCAGTAGACTCCATTAAAAGAGTGATGGGCTGTGAAAGAAGCAAGAAGGTAAACTAACTACACAGATCATTTTGAATGATTTATCACGACATGTAAACTGATTTGCACTGGGGGGAACCTTATAGAAAAGATTCCAACCTTAACATCCAGAACATGGAGCTCCACACGAACTTTGTTTTCATCTTCCGCATACATCTCGATGCGATTGACGTGGCTGAAATCAGCCAGAAGTGCCACCAGGTTGGTTTTGGTGTTAATCACATGGCTGATGCCATATTTGGGCCCCACCAGCAAGGTCACCTCGGTGTGCTTCTCGCCTTGCTGTGAAAAGAATCAGCATAAGTATCACTTCCTCAGGTACAGTACTCTGGAGAGTTGGTTTAATCTCATCATGCATTATGCCTCTCCTTAAAAATAGTCCGATATGACTAGGATGGTTTCACTTACAATAAGTGTCGACTTAAACACCCGACCTCCATAGAGCCTCAAGTCACTGAGATACTTCAGATAATGGACCTTAGCCTGCAAGGCAGTCAGCTGCAATTTGCAACACGAGATAGAGTCAGAAATAATTCACAGCAAAATTTCTCAGCAATTTCATGTGTAACTTAGTCAGTGTAAAATGTTTTGTTTCACAACCATATCAGAGGTGTTATGAAACTCCAGCAGGTTGAGGAAAATATATATTTTTTTCTTTTTTTTTTAAGTGCAGAGGGTAAAGGGGAATATGGAGATGAAAGCAACACGATGACTATGAGTCTTTTGCCTTTACCTTTTTACCAGGTGGAACCAGATTCTGGTTGGTTTTGAGGATGTGAGTGAGTGCTTTTTTGATGTTCTTCTCTTTCATACTGGACAACACTGCAGGAGGGAGGAACAAGGCCAACCCCCACTCCTTCCTGTGGATATACGATTCATAAACATGACAGAAGATCAATCAATTGTGCAGGAAGAACAGTTAGATCCTCTTTTTTTATCGGTGTGTATGGCCCTGGCATGTCACTCTCTGGGTTATTAACTCATCATCAGCTCATGCTGGCTTTACCACTGCACCCTACCTGCTTGGCGCAGGTAGAAATAGTACCATGGAGTATCAATTAAAAACTTGCAACAACGAATACAGCTAGAGGATACCATGCAGTTGAAAACGGCAGTATCCGAGCACTACATTATTACAGCGCGACTTAAAATATATGGATATGGACCCGGGCAAGAATAAGCGATTGTATATAATGAAACGACTTGAAATTTTGTAGACTCCCGCTTACGAGTTTGGCCCCATATCAACGCAATGTGTAATCCCTTCGACTTACTCAATATACTTGAGGGATACTTTCTGGGACTGCTTGGTATTGATGGTTAGAATGTACATTTGCAGGGCAGCCAGGCGGAGGGCAGTGTCATATTTCAGCTCTGACCCAAATCGCTCCAGTACCACATCATTACAGCTCTTGAGACGTAACAGAGAGAGAGGACAAGAGGTTACATTACTGACTTGAGTGAATGAGTACACAACTCACAACTACAACACATTCGACTTGGCGATACATCCTAATATCTTTAATATTGATCTAGTGTTGCTCACCTGGACATAGAGGTACTCAAATGCTATTGCATCTCTCCTCAGCAGCTCTAATGGGTCCTTTGGGACAAAAGTGATGCGAAAAAAACACTTCATCTTGTGTGACCCTGGCCTCTTTGTCACCTAGAGCATTAGCCCAAGAGAAACACTGTCACATGAAGTCGAAATTCACACTTTCTTATTTCCATATTTATTCGACACTGTATAAAATGCATGATCCAGTTATTATTGAACTTCTACAAGATCAATTGGTGTGACAAGAATTGATGTCGAATGGTCATTTGCTTTCTTGCGCATTTCACTTTAGATCATGATGCAGGCATCCTGAACTAGGTTATCTCATTTGCGCAGATTGTAACAGCAGCATAGTTGTACAATTGGAAATGTGATCAAATTATCTGGGGGAAAAAAAATATGCCTTGGATGTTGTATTTTGGAGTTTGAAACCCCTGTCATGCCGAATGTCATCATATTGTGCAAACGCTGTGCACTTATTCATCTGTCAGCATAGCGCTAACTGTACTTTGTTTTGCTCCTTCAATTCGCTTTTTGGAGCTTTTCAAGTGACACAAATGCTGAAGAAGGACTTTCCTTGACAAGGGTTACCAAGAGACAGAATTTCAGAAGCGAATAATAATGATGATGATAATAATAATCATAATAATAATAATAATAATAATAATAATAATAATAATAATACGAATAGTAATAATAATCAGAGCAACTTCCCGGAGTCTTCACGGAGACTTCAGGGTTGTCTACCGCTGACGAAGCTTCTGTGAGAGAAGCGAAACGTCCTTTTTTGTTTTTTTTTTTGTTTTGTTTTTTGTTTTTTGTTTTTTACCCACAGGTACAGATGACGACTGACAGAACCCTTTCTACGATGGAACTTTCCTGTACGACTGAGAGCCTCCACAAGCATCTTGCGGTCAATAATCAGAGTAATAATGTATTGAATGTCCCAATCACATTTATTTTGCACAGAAGTCTGAGTCATTTGAAGTCCCGATCTGATACTTTGGCAATGCATTAAAAAAAAAAAAAAAAAAAAAGTAGTGCATACAAATTGTCACCACTGTTCTATCTAGTGCAGCAGTGGTTGAAATCAATAAAACAAATCAAATATTTTTTAGACCATATCTCTAGTGGAGCACAAAATAATGATGTAAACACATTGTATTTAAATATCCTGATTGAAATCTGGACAATAAAATTTAGCATATTTAATAGACTACAACCTTAAATGATCATGCTTTATGACATTTGAAAATGAAGAAAATTAAAACATCAGATTTTTTTTTTTTTCACCCAATGCTCATCATCTCAATATTACGTGATTGGATTGGAACAGCCCTACACATATCCAAATCGGATGTGGACTAGGCTTCACTAAAGAATACCTGATCTCCTGTTCAAGCACAAAATAATCCACCCGTTTCCCACGATTTTTTTTAATGGACATTTTCAAGATTCACTGTTTTTAGACTCCTACAACAAATATAGCACTAAGGTCCTGAGGTCACTCTTGGAAAAGATACTTTTAATCTCAAAGAGTTTTTTTTTTTTTTTTTTTTTTTTACCTGAATAAATAAATGAAATGAATGAATGAAAAACACTATCGGACACAACTAAAGTGTGCTGTCTCACCTGAGTTAGCATTTCTTGCTCATGAAGGAGCATCAGTTTGCTGGCCGATCCTTCAGCTCTATGCTCCAGAATCAGAGAGAAGTGTTCGATGCTCTTTATGGACAGCTTCTCTTGCAGTGTCAAAATGACATCCTGAAATGCAAAATGTCATTACATCTTGCACAGTAATGCAGGAAGATGTGGTCTACTCCTCGCAAAGAATTGCCTTTTAATAGTTAGTCAAAATTTCACTGAGAATCTGAGTGTAGCTACACCCCCGTAAGGTCACATTGAACAGTATTTCGGGAAACAATGCTAAATCGGTTCGAATCATACAACAATATTACAAAGAGATATTCTCAGCTACCTTTATAGATGTGTTGCTGTCAAATTTAAACGATTTTGTCTGGCCATTCTCCAGGTAGACCTTGAGAACATTTGGCATGAAAAGAAGTGAGTTGTCCTTCACAGTTTCCTGAGAGAGGAATGAAAAAAAAAAGACTCAGCAGAGAAAACACGGAAAAACAGACACACTGTTTTAAAATCACGTCTGCTTTGTTTGTTTGTTTTTTTTGGTGTGGAGACCTGTGAAAAGCCAGTTACTCAATTGTTAATGATAAAGACTGGAAACAGCTGACTTGGCTGCAATCATTTTTCATCGGGCCAAATTATAATGAGCCACATAACCCCCTAAAAAGATGGCCTCTTACCAACTGAGCACACATATTTGAAATCCTGAGCAGGTAATTAGTTGCTGCAAGTCACCACTTTACATTTGTTCTCATTTTATAACCAAAGAGAGGAAAATCAATTTGTTGCCACAAATCTCCCGATGTATCATTGCATTTGCAGAATTCATAATTTAAGGGCTAATGTATGCGTCGGAATTTGACTTGTATGCATGCATCAAATAAAACTTTAGTCAAATTTGATCTTTATTCTCTATCAACTAAACTTTTGAGTGGACCTTGGATTCCTTGCTTGGCCCAATGGGTCTGTTTTAAGGTTGACCTACCATCTCCTATCTGTAGGTTCCTTGCAACACTTTCTGATTCAGCACTGCGGATTCACAGTTTGTTCTAGCTGTCTGAAGCCCAAGGGTTAATTACAAACTAGAGCGATGTATCAGGCTTTTCAAAATCAGGTCCCTCACTGAACACACGGTGGTTGCGCTCTCTTTGTGACACATTTTACAAACCGGTGAAGTGCTTTGTGAGAGCACGTGCTTCCATCGGTCCGTCACGCCTACACACTTTCTATTCCGCCATGATGAAAAGAAATATTTGCCTTATCTGCTCTGCGTCAGGTTCAAGAACACCAAAACGTCGCGTGTGTGACTCACAGGAACCTGGCCGTTGATGATGACTTCTTCTGCAAAGCGGACTTTAACGGGATTTGTCTTTAACTTGGCCTTTTTGGCTGCGCTGATGAACGCCGACTTGGGTGACTTTGGGAGGGAAAGAAGAAAACATGAGTTTTTAAAGGGTTTTCGGGTCCTTCGCAAATGAGTCGAAGACACTTTCTTCCCCATCTTTATCCACATTCAAAATGTATCCTCCTTTGAAACATAATAACCCCGCTCACCATCAAGTGTGTCATTGAGGCTGCAAAGAAACGTCTGGTAAATGGAAGTAATTACAGACTGCAATAGAAGAGCTGCTCGGTCCTCTTGGGTATTACGAAACTCGACACAAATCCTTTCTTTTCTGCCATTTAAATCTTTCTCCAAATTTAATTGCTCATTGAAGCCATGGTTTCTTCCGATAGAGCTCTATTGATTAATCCCCGATTATTGGAGAGAATTACAATGTTCCAATTCGTCTGTGGCATAAACCATTGATATGCGCTCATTTTGATGGAAAATCAACTATGATACGACTGACTGACTGGCAGGTGCATCAGGCAATCAGACCCTGAAGACAAACACAAGAGAGACTAGGAGTCAAGCAGAGTTGTCTCACAGGGAGCATGCGCAAAGAGCGACAGTTTGTGTTGGCTCAGTTTAAGGTCATCATTTGGTGCTTGGTGGCTGGGAAGTTTGGACTTGTCTTTGAGTTATTCTGGGGTCTTGCCAGGTTATGATGTTACACCATGAAAAGACTCACAAAGGCTGTACATTTGGCTAGTGGTTATGGGTCACATATTTTCAGTACCTAACAAATGAGCATGTAACCGGAAGACACTTACCGGGTATGGCTGAACAACAGTCAACAATATGGACTCCTTGCAGCTCCTGTTAAAAACAACAACAGAGCATATTCTTATGCTTTGAGTCAAGGGGACTGATCATCTAACCAAATATTGTCATCTTTCATATTTTGTATTTATTTATTTGTTTTCCAGTTGTACTCTTGGCAGCTCTGTGTTCCTCATGGAAGACAACAAAAAGCTTCAAAGGAGGAGCCATTCTTGGGCACCTTTCCCAAAATGAATTTCATTCATGTCACACGTTGTACCATACTGCGGTTGCATGCTCACATTCAGGATTTGGATTTCTTTGCCAAAGTTTGAATCATCATAATTATTCTAGTGACATCCTGTTATCAATTAGTCAATTATTTCGTGGTCCAATGGGATTCCTTCCATAATGCTGGTCCACCTTCATATTTTGAAGCCACTTTTCCGTCATGGAAAAATAAATAATAATATCTTGAATATATTAAAAAAAAAAAAAAAAAAGCTACACACAAATTTAGAGTTTGAGACTTGAAGAATTTTAACCACATAAATGAGCAGAGATCTCACAAGCTTAGCGCAGTGTAGGAGATGACTTCAATGTCCAAATTCCAAAGTATACACCAAAAGAGCATCTACTGTACTTTAATTGAAAGTATAAAAACCAAGAAATGTTGGGTAGTGTTGGCCAGCATGTTACTCATGCGTGGTTTGATAGTCCGCATGAAAATGCATGAGATGGGCCATACTGTGTTAGGCAGATGAGTCAAAGCGTCTTCTTGTGTTGTCCTACCTGACGAGGTCAATCACCCTTTCCCTGGGAGCGGAACTGACTGGCTCATCATTGATCATGATGATCTCGTCCCCTGGGATGAGCTTGCCCTCTGATGGACCCCCTGTTCACACACATGGCAAATAAGTTTGATACAACTACATACGACTACAAATCAGGCATTACCCCCCTTCCCACCCACCAACACCATTTCCTGTGTCAACACCTATGAGCTTGCTCATCGAGTCTTGTTAAAATGGATGAATCATTCAAGTAGCGTAACCCGCTCCGGATTTGTCTTTTCTACTTTTATGCAGTAGTTGCCCTCTTCCGGGCCAAAAGTGTTGATAATTGGATGAGTCACTGTCATAGTAAAAGCTGAGTCACTTTACCTGGTGTGACTGAGCGAACCACCACAGGTTTCTCACTGCCTGCCACAAAGCCAAAACCAAGTACCGGGTCTCGTCTCATCTCCACCTTCCGGGGTGTAGGTGGCACAAACTTGTCTCCATCTAGGCGAACCTCTTCCAGGGAGCTGCTCTGGCTGAATTGGCTGTGAAAATAAGACAAGGATTCTTGGCATTATATTAATTGACTTAGTTTTACTGTGAACTAATTGTTATGTCTGTGAGAGGGTTTTGCACACAGAACAAATATTGATCAAGATGTCAGCCTCAAACGGCAAACATTCTTACATTTTTGTCTTCGGAATTACATACTTTGTCATGGGTTGGGAAAAAGGTTTTGTTTTGACCTTTGGAGTCCAAGGACTTGAGTGATCTCAGGGCTGAAGGACTCGCAAGAAGGACTCACTCCATGTCATCCATGGCAAAAACGCCTTTCTCTGCATTTCCTTGCATCTGGGTCATTTTAGCGTGTAGTGATAAATGCTGCTTGAGTCCCACAGAGCAGCATTCCAGGTGTATTGTCCCAACTTTAGAAAACTGTCACGCAGGATGGACACATACAGTACCTGTACATGCAATTGCCACATAGTTGGGGCAAGTTAAAGCAAACAAAGTATGGCTGATGCTGTTGCCGGCATGTTCAGAGAGATCAATTTATTTTCTGCAATTGTATATCTGTTGGATATCTTCTACCAACATTGTCAATTCCAAACTCTAAAAAATCGCTTGTTGTATGACAATGTCAGCATTCATAATTTGAATGCAAAGCATTTTGTATTTTCCATCCAGCCTAGAATCACAAGCAGAATCTTGCCAGCAATGTTGGTTAATTAAAGCCTTGGGCCTAGGCAGACAGTGTGTAATTCACATTTATCCTTGACACGTGTGCTATTCGGCAATAATTACTAACAATTAACCGGTCACAAAACAAAGGCGCAGAAAAATCTGCCGGTTGCCAAAAACAAGAAAGGAGCAAAAAGTGCAGCACAATGCTCGATACAATAGCATATGGACTGTCAACTTTTGGATGATGAGAATGTTTTATTCTTATGTACGTCTTTAAAAAAATGGCTTTAAAATTTTTTGAAGGTTTTGGACAAGCAACAAAGAACAACAGAGGAGCGTTTTGAATATGGACCACCGTTTGTATGGTACTCTGTTGTGAATATATTGATATCATCGTCAAAGATTCAGAACTGTATCGTTAACTGACTTTCTGTGTAACTCCATTTTTTTTCAAGTCAAACATATTGTGCACCGTTTACAACGTAATCTCCATTAAGGCGGGGTGTTTAATGGGATGTCTGGTGGTAAAGTGGAGCTTTCTGTTATTACGCTTCTTGGAAATGTTGACACTTTTTAAAATTAGAATCGTAATATCTTCCAGTAGCAGACTCTGGCTATGAAACAAACAGAGACAGCTTTTATTAAGGCCTGAACATGTGTCGTAGAAGGCCTCTCGAAATGGCATGATTGTCCTTTATCACTTATTGTTCTTAATCACTTATTTTAGGGCTTTTTTTCATACACAACTGACAACATTTTGCAGATGGTTTCACCCAGGTCAAAATGTGAAGTAGCTCAATACTGTCCCCCTGCCCTTTCAATTTGGAATCTGAAAATTTGTCAGACATGTTTACCAAGTGTCGAACCACAAATTAAAAAGACACGTAAGGTCTGCCATTTGGTTTGATGGTGTCATTTTATGGCCATATTGGTCACTTCTTTGCCTTCAAAAACGAATGTATCCATGAAATTCTGTACATTTGTGACCAAATGTGAACTTTGTTTGATGGATTTGTCATGCATGGCAAGTTGTATGACATGCGACAAAACTCCAGGAGCCAGATCCAGGAGCGCGGTGGTGGCCTTTGGGAATATTCAGAAAATTGTCCCAAACGGCCGCTGTATTCACGGGCATCACGGACACCCAACCCCACCGTCTACGATCATTTCTTTTGCCACGTGACTGCCGCGCCCATTTGTTTTTCGACAAGTGACCACCGCCGTCAATGACTAGTCCTGTGTCGAATTTTGCTCCCAGCACGGCCAGATCAATCACCTCATATTGTTTATATGATGAAAGTCCCATCCTAAAATGATTCATTGCCCCCGCCCTACTGGCAGAAGTGTACGGATGCAATAACTCTGCTCTGACGCTGTGATTAACTTCCGACTCAGTATGTGGATCAAGTCCATCTGGCACAATTCAAATTTTTCCTGACGGTTTTGGAACGATGAGGACCTGTTCTTCCCTATCATTTTTTAATATAATTCAGTCTCTAAAAGAACTTGCCACATTTTGGTGACCATCTACACTTATCATTCATTGTTTTGTTTGCTTAACGCCCGAGTGAGGAACTCAACAGATTGTCAAAACCATACGGATATGTACAGTCTCTTCCCCAGTACCGGCCACCTGCTTAACATGGCTTCATTCCCATTGTGCAGACAGCCTTGCAAGTGATAGCCCCTATTTATATGAATTTAGCAACTAGCATATCTCCACTAAGATTTTTTACTAACGCACAGACATTAGCAGTTTGTTTGCATTTGGATTTCATTTTGTGGCGCATGCCCCAAAACCAGATAACTGCATCACGCCGACAATTGCTCCACGGGAACAATTTAAACCTTGGAAAGGACAGAGCCGTGTTGAGCTATGTTCTCTGCTCACACCTGTTTCTTATTTTTTTTTAAACCATATTAACAAACAATGACTCATGTTCCTTTGCTTGTTGTTTGAAATCTCATTCCTTCATTTGTCAACGTTTGAGAACGAAACGTTACAGCCAAAATCGTCAATGTATTCAGGGATTGAGTAGTGTGTGTGGACCTCCATGGGTCTCCTTCACTACCAAAATCTTTTTTTTATCCATTAGGCCCTAAAATTTAAGGCCATGTACTTGCTGCTCATGCAAAAGTATGCCAAATAACTCCGTTGCGTTTCGCGTCACGTGATGCTTTTACACAAATAATTCAAATGCGGCTCCCCTGTGGATCTTTGAAAGGGAAGTCAAGTCAGAAATGTTCTTTATATGTTCTATGCACCCCCATTAGTCTAAACATGGTATATTGATTAATATTACATTTGTGGAATATGAATTGAGCAGAAAAATCTGTCCGTTTTTATCCATCTCACGGGGTGGCCATTATGCCACTTGCTGTCAACTGAAAATGACATCACAGTGCCTAAGGGCTCAGCTTAAAAACATCACGTCACCAAACCCTGGAAAAAGGTGAGCCTTGACTGTCATTACCCGAGCTCTTTGGCACATTGACGTCATTTTCAGTCGACAGCAGGTGGCAGTGCAAGGCAAAATGGCAGTCAGTGGTTAAGAACAAGTTTTTTTGAAGTGGGGCCGTGCGTCACTCAACATTTTTACATGCTTTCATATCATTCGTTAGCTTCGTCATGCCAGCAAACAAGCTGGGACTGAATCCACAGGGTTTCTATTGCTTGCAGCCATTTAACCTCGATCGCCCCTGTCATCTGTCATGGCATCTCTGAAACCACTCGGACTCCACATACGCCAGTGCTATTATTTGATTGTCTTCCCTCAACATTTTGTGTCCCCCTCCAACATTGTCTCTCCAGACGGTGGAAAAGTACTGCGTAGTCATGTTTTTGCAACAGTGCGGTTTTGTGTAAGACACCCACTTCATATCCGTAGTATAAAGGGTTATCCGTGCCTCAGAAAAACCTTTGCCTCAAACCAGACTACTGGACATTTCCATCATATTTTGGAGAATGAGGATTATACTTCCTCTCTATGACTCATTACTGTAAGAAACCTGCTTCAACACGACTCAAGGCAAAGGTTGAGGATAAAGTAGGTTGTATTTTTAAGAATATGTTGGCAACACAAAGATTGTTCTTGTCAATCCGTCTTTCAAAGACCACGTTATTGACCCTTTATGCAATTACTTCTTGAGACGTGACGTCCTTGCGTTCAGCAGGACTGAATCAAGACCATCTTACAAGAAATCTTTGTCAAATCGTTTTCCTGAGGATGTTCAACACTCTTTCGAAATCACTCCCTAGACTGCATCACGTTGTTTTAATACCGCGTGTCATACTGTTAATATTAAACGGCCACTGGTTTATTTAACTGCGGCCGTCACACAGCCACGTTCCTTTAAGGAATGCTACCGACTTGCATTGTGCCCGCCGGCGCCGACACGCTCAGATGGCCAGTGACAGACATACAAGCAGACATTTGATTATTCATGAGTCCCCCCCCACAAATTTTGACGACCCGGGTCTGACGCCAGAACAGCCTCCGTGAATCTGCCTCATGCAGATGCACTCTCTGACTGCATCCAGCACTCTCACTTCTTATATAACACCTCTCCACATCACGCACGCCGGGCTACAACCCTTGTGTGACGAGGCTTCACCTCCTCTTTGGTGCATCATGTAAATACACATGACAGAGAGGCCAACGGAAGATAAACGCATTGACAAGCGGTTACGGTTCATTGGGTACAATCACTCTCTCTGTAAAGAAAACTTCAAGGAGTATGCAATGCAATATGTCATCACAAGCGCAGTCGACAGAACAACACTTCAACATTATTGAAGGACACGCGCAACGCAGACTTAGCATCTCTTTACCTTTATGTGACAGTTAATTCAGCCGAAATCCTCGAATGAATCAGCAGTGAAGTAGCAGTGCAAATGCAAATAACTGCACAGGTAAGTTTGGTAAAAAAAAAAAAATGTCTATATACATAATAATAATGATAATAACAATAATTTAAAAAAAAAAAGGAAAAAAGAAAGTCCTCTTCTGCATACAGGAGGCTGCGTGCAGAGTGCGGTGGGTGTGTGAGAGGGAGAGTGTGGTGTGCAGGGCATAGAGAAAAAAGAAAGAAAGAGAGAGAGCGCACAGCAGGGTAAGGAAAAGCGAATCAGTATTCCGAATGCACAGATGGAGACGCCGTGGACGCAGTGACGCTGCTGGAATAATCATAGCTTTGCCAAGTGGTCTGAAACATCTCGGGGATGGAGTTCCTTTAAAACACTCACTTGATGAAGCAGTCACGCCCCTCTCTATTGGTGCCCATGTCCCAGCCATTGGGGGGTGCCTGCGCGGTACCCCACGTCCCTGGAGGGGGCGGCCAGCCTGACGACTTGGTCCTGTGGCTGCAGACGATAGAAGGGGAAAGGGATCAAATAGAGATCGCGAAAAGCCTGCAGGCAAAACTTTAACTCTGACGTTTAGATGTCTCGGGAGACAACGTTTGAATGGTTTTCCTTTGAGACTTTCCGACATGACATTTCCTCAATCCATCCGTACATTTTTTTTTTTTTTTTTTTTTAAATCGCTTATCCTGTTCAGGGCCTTCTGGATCCTTTCCCAGGTGACTTAAGGAGAAAGGCAGGTTAAAATTGGACCGAGCACCAGTCAGTCATACGGCTGACACTGAAAGGCGTGCACACAAAATTACTTTAATAATTAAAAAAAAATCCGTCTCTTTACATGGAGCCTGAAAATCAGTGATGTGCAGATCACTACTTAGATAACAATACCTCTTTCACCGGATCTTTATGCTCACGTGAAATTACTCTTGATCCGTCAATCATTTGAGTAATGTAATTGAACAACAAGAACACAGTGGAAAGGATCTAAACTATTTCGATCTCGGCTAAAAGATACAGGGTGCGTGGGAACTAGTTTGCGGTCCACCTAATGAGGCGCGCGATGCGTAAGCGTCGCAGCACGCCACACACGCTGCTTAGTCAGTCACTCAGTCAGTCTGACTGCAATGGCATGACGGCGGAGCGTGAACGGCGTCGTGTGGCGCGAGTTCAGCCCCACAAACAGCCAAGGTGCGGTTTGCGGTGTTTGTGGAAGAACAGTAATAAAGAGGTTGAAGCACCTCAGGTTGAATCACAAGACAGACTTTGAGGATGAGGCGGAAAGAAGAAGAGAGCACAGCGTCAGGTGTTGCCTCGAAGGCAGGACAGAGCTCTTTGCCGCGATCCAAGTAGAGGGAGAGAATGCGGAGCTTTAAGGGGTGCTCAGCATTGTTTAGAAATAATAAGTCATGAAATAAATACATGCTTCAAAAGAGAGCTGCATCAGTTCAACTTGGTGTAATAATATGGGCCTTTACTTAGTAAAATTAGTTTAGTTTCCTAAAGATTTGAACATTTTAAGTGGGTTATAGATACAGAACAATTGGAACAAAATGGTGAACGAAGAAAAAAAAATACATGATCCCCCCCAAAAAAATGATTAAAAAATATTTTGTCCATCAGATATTTCTATTATTAACGGGAATCAGTGTAATTTGCTTTCACCGGCAAATTAATAGTTGCAAACATGTGCAATTATTGTGGCGTTTATTATTTTTTTAATCCACTATTAGCTGGCAAGTTCGATTTGTGACGAAAACAGCAAGAGTCTGACTCCTATCTTCACTTCCAGGTTTGAAATGGATAAAAATAATGAATGGTAATAATAACAATCACAAGATATTAAATACACATATTCTTTATGAAACTAGGATTTCAAACACACAACCCTTTTTCAATGAACCCTTTGGCGGGTGATAAAAAGCTCAAGTGAGAAGAGATAACAACGTGATCAATTAGACGATGTCGCGTGCGAAAATACAAACCAAATTAATTACATGAAGCATGTCTCACTCTTGTACTGGTGACGGCCATGAAATTAAGTTTGACTTCTCGAAAGTCAGCACATTCTGGCTAAAAGAAGCCAAGACGAATTCTCCGCTAAAGAACTTTTCATCAGATGCACTGGAAAGCAAAGGCAAAACTCAAATGGATTCAGGAAAGTTTATCGGAGAATAAAAGCAGCGTTTGTCCACAAATCGATCAGCCTTAGCTGAGTCTCTGAGGGACCGACAGTGGCGATTCATGTCACCCAAGTCCAAGAAGTCCTCAGTGACTAATTGCAGATTTAAAAAAAAAAAGGAAGTCTTACAGGAGGAGGTTTTTTTTTATATTTTAATGAGGAGAAATATTCAAGGCCTTAGATGAATAAATGTTCTGTAAACGCAATTAGGACAACTGAGTTTGAGTGTAGAGAAATGGTGCCTCTGCATTGACTGACGAGCTTCATCAAGCGTGTAAGGCATCCATCCATCCATTTTCTGATCCGCTTATCCTCACAAGGGTCACCGGGCGTTGCTGGAGCCGATTTCAACTGACTTCGGGCGGAAGGCGGACTACACCCCTGAACTGGACGCTTGTCAGTCACAGTCCGTCCCACATCCGCACCGTCACTGAGTGGGAACTGATCCCACGCTGCCCGAACACAAGTGTGCCGAGTTTACCACGACACCGTCAGCGACACCAACATGTAAACCTCGGTCTAGTTTTTTGACTGTTTAATCTCCTCAAAGCCTTGGTTTTGACTCTGTCTTGTGATCACAGTGAAATCTTGAGACGGTGAGCGGTTCTGTGACTTTTCCAGGTGCGTGTACGCACGTTTGACGCACAAATAGATGCATGGTTATGGTTAGTGAATGACTCTGGTTGTCTCAAAGTCTTTCTTTTGACTCTGTCTCATCTCAGAGATTTTTTTTTCCCTCACATTTCCTGGGTTTTGCTTATGTTTTCGTCCTGTCGCCTCAAAATGTCTTGTTCTTGACTTGGTCTTCCCTCCTCACCGATTGGACTTCATATTGTATTGGTCATGGTTTGATGCCTTGAAACTTGCTTGATCTGTCTCGGTCTCATCTCCTCAAATCCTTGAGGTCGACCTTGCCTCAGTCTTGGTCTCATCTCTTTTAATACTCGGTATCACCTTGGTCTTGCATTGCCTCAGCCTTGAGCTTCATGTGACAAGATCACAATGGCTTGTTGTTCATTTTGTCTGCCCTCCTCATAATCTTGGTCTCGACTCTCTCTTGTCTCGTAAAGACTGAGTCTTGACTTTGTCTTGTGTCCTCAAAGTCTTGGCCTTAGCAACATTTTGGTTGATGTGATCTTCACCCAACCACTGTTACTTCCGCTGCTGCTATACTACTCTAGATTCTTCTACTGTACACCCGTCTAAATTGGGCATCTTTTGTGACTGTTTCGCACCACGCGACACAAGGTGGCAAAACAATTCATACCGGTAATTGAATAAATTCTTTTTTCTTGGTCTTTTCCCTGCGTCTTTGGATCGGCACGCTGGTTTTACGATGAAAGCAGTCGCAGTAAGTTATGTCACTTCAAAGGCTTGTCTTCCGCGTTTCAGGGCTCTTTGCATCCATTATTCAAAGCCTCCCCTGTCTCTCCCTCTAAATGCTTCCCTAGTTATTGTAGCAGCCGTAATAAGTTGTGTGCAGTGCTCTCGCGTCTGCATGGGTGGGTATGTTAATGCGGCCTGTGTCCGCAAGCATGCCCCACTCGCATGTGCTAGCGCCATGAGATGTGAATAATATCGCGTCCTCTCAACGGCACCGCAGCAGTGTTTTGCCACAAAATACATGAAGGCAATGGGCTATCGGAAACGGTGTTTTTGCTTCGGCGCATGCGATTCTACCACTGTAGTTCGCGTGAGGCATCGGGTTGGCTTTCCCAAAGCAACAGTGCGCTGGCGGTGTATGCGAGTTTTCCAGATGCATGGATTTATTTGACACACAGCGCATTTGCTGGGAGAAGGCCTCGGTGGTGTATATTTAGAACACAGCCCAAATGATGTGTGCGGACACGAGAGCAAGCTGTTGGAGTACCAAAAGTGAGGTGCATTCTTATCTGTCATATTTGCTCATTTTACGTTAAGAAAATGACCTGAAATATAGAAATAATAATTTTTGGGGGGATATTTTTCATGAGTGGGGCTAAATTATGAAGTACATTCATTTTGTTAGTTTGACAACAGAAACATACTTATTGATAGGGGTGCAGAGAAGCGGTGCACTGGTGTGCTTGAGCTCTCAAAATTGAAAATTGTGCTCTAGCTTGTCACCACGCTTTTAAAAATCAGTCTAGCTTCAATTTAGAATTAAGTCAGCTGCCACAAAAATTGATTCCAGAGTGCCAACTAGAAACATACTGATTGATAGGGGTGCACAGAAGCGGTGCGCTGGTGCGCATGAGCTCTCAAAATTGAATATTGCGCTCCAGATTGTCACCGCACTTTTGAAAATCAGTCTTGCCTCAATTTAGAATTAAGTCAGCTGCCACAAAAATTGATTCCCGAGTGCTAACTTCACAATAAACGATAGGTAAGGCATTGATATCCATGTTCAGCATTACTTATTTCACTTTTATAGCGAAGGTGACCCTTGTGGCACGTTGCATAGTAGTCAAAGATGGGCAGTGAATTTTTTTGAACAGGCCATGCAACTGAATCGTGTTAAAAGATGAATTTAATTTCATTTTATAAAACGGTTAATTTATTGTTTTAATAAGTTGTCATTGTGTAGCCCTGGTATCATGAAAAACCATCCTGTAATTTTCCAATCCCAATTGAGGCAGTAAAGCTAACACAAACAAACGGTCGATACAGTACTTACGGTTTCAGGTGATTTGCCCTCAAGATTTTTCTCCCAATTGACAAACTGTCTCTTTAAATCCATTTTTCATTCGCATTAGCTGAAGTGCTATAGATCCCATGATCTTTGATTTCTTCTTTCTTTTCCCGAGCACTACAATGTTGAGTTTGCAGAGACGCTAAATAGGGTTCACTCTCCGGTGGACAGTGAAAACGATCTTCCTTCCATTACATGAATAAATGATGGCCGCACAGTCGCATCGGACTTGTAGTCGAGAGGCAGGTGGGTAAACCATGCTGCACAATTCATGAACAGGTTACCCAAGAGTCACAGTGTGGACAATTAAGAAATGTGTGCGCCTCCATGATATTTTGATGTCAAATTAACACTTTCAAACGTTTGTTTTTGTTTGCATGTCACGTTATTAACTTATTTTCTGAAGAAAAGACAAAAGAATTAACATTTTTATAGCAATGACTTCGTTCAAGGAAGCAGTTAATTTCACGAGAGCGATTTAAAATGTGAATGGCAGATCACAATCAAATCCA